TGGGTTGAACAAAGCTGAGCTTACACAAAGCCTGTCTGACCAAAGACTGCACTGCGTTTATACAATCCCTTAATACCTGTGGTGAACATGCAGAATAACGCTCCAGAAAGTAATCCACATCATCCTCTAATAACCATACCAGGCACTCTACCTGGTCTGCACTAAATGGTGGCAAAAATTCATCCCTGCATTCGGGGGTACCAGATGAAACCAACTCAGCACAAACCTGAATCAATGGCTGCACCTCAGAGAATTCTGTGCCCTGATCTACTAGAACATGAGCGAGCCGTATACATTCTAGCAGTTCATCCCGGGGATACTCCTTCAGAGTTTGATAAGCATACTCCCTGTCATCAAACACTAGCAGAGATAAATACACAACCTCATCCAGATCCATCCTTCCCAGCAACAAGCCAAGATGACTTCCCTGTGCAGCCACTTCTGGTCAGGATTGGCCTTGGTGTAATGTCAGGGCTCCAGGGTATGACCAGAGGTATGTGACTGACGCAGGGAAATGCAGGCTTCAGATAAGTTATAAACAATATAATTTATTCAAGACTAACAATACAAACATAAACGCAGTGCAATACTAAAAACATAACACAGTGCAAACAAACCAAACCAAACCACCCACAGATAACAATACATACAATGCAAGCGTCGTCAGGCAGGCCGGGTCAATAACAAACGGGCAGGTAGGAACAGGAGGAGCAGGCAGAGAGTAGTCAGGTCACGAGCCGGGTACAGCAACTAACAGGCAGGTAGGTACAGGGGGGTCAGGCAGAGAATGGTCGGGGTCACAAGCCAGGGATCAGAACAGGAGAAGTCAGCAGAGGTCCAGATCAAGCAGGGTCAGCAACAAGACAGGAACAGGATGCAGGAACAGGATACAGGGCCCAGGAAAAACACACACACCAAGGCAGAGTCTGCAGGTCTGGCCATCCCTTAAATACACCTGCATAAGCAGTTTCAGGTGTTTGGCTGGCTGCAGGGTTGAGTCTCTGATTGCTGGGAGCACCCGCTGGCCAGCCTGGTACTGCAGCCCATAAGGCAGGTGAGTCCCACCATTGCTGGCCAGTCCATTCCTGACAGTGGGAGAATTAGTGCCCCATCATTGGTGTCAGTGGGAGGAATAGTGCTCCATCATTGGTATCAGTGGGAGGAATAGTGCCCCATCATTGGTATCAGTGGGAGGAATAGTGCTCCATCCTTGGTATCAATGGGAGGAATAGTGCTCCATCATTGGTATCAGTGGGAGGAATAGTGCCCCATCATTGGTATCAGTGGGAGGAATAGTGCTCCATCCTTGGTATCAATGGGAGGAATAGTGCTCCATCATTGGTATCAGTGGGAGGAATAGTGCCCCATCATTGGTATCAGTGGGAGGAATAGTGCTCCATCATTGGTATCAGTGGGAGAATTAGTGCCCTATCATTGGTGTCAGTGTAAGGAATAGTGTCTCACATCCATAGAAGGAATAGTTCCCTATGGGTCCGATATAGGCAAAAAAAAGGACCACATCTGGCCCACAGTTTGGAGACCACTGCTCTAGGTAAAACCCAAATGCACATGCAGTAATGTGCCTCAGAAGCAGAGTTGACATCAAGCAAGGTAAGTAGCACTGACATAATCTCTGTATTTTAGGAAACAAATCACTACTGATTTCATAGAAGCTGGTAGACCACAAATGTGGCTCAAACAGGGCACATAGATATATATGTAGAACAAATATTTTATTTTTGCGAGCATATAAGAATCATTACCACTACTGTGTCTGCCCATGACGAAAAATGTGAGATCATACAGTATAATGCTTCAATATTTTTTATAGGAACCACTAGAGGGGTCTCTAAATCACTGTTTTTAGTCTCATACAGATGGAACAATGGTAGATAGGAGGGCTACTGAGGTCCTTCATTTCAAGGAGAGGTGGCCTAATGTTGAGAGGGTTGTCCTATTACAGTATTCCAGTGCTGGGCACTTCTGAGTAAAACTATTAGTCATCCCTAATTAATTTGTTTATTGTGTTCAATTAGATTACTCAGTGGGCCTTTCTGGTCAGTTTATTATGATTATTATAATATTTTATTACAAAATAACAATAAAAAAAAACAATCACATTAATTCTTAAACCCATCAAATGGGCTTTGAAAATCTGGTGGTTGAATCCTTTACAGCTCTGCCATGTAAAAATGGGAATTACCCAAAAGTCATGTTGGGATACCCTCTAAGCCGGGCATACATGGACTGAGCCAAATTTCGATATATGTATAGCCCCTGTGGTTGTACCAGATTTGATCGACTGATCGACTTCTGTTCAGCTGCTCTGTTGTATTTTCCTTGCTCGATCAGAACTGCAGGCTATAGCGTGCAAAGCTGATCAGTGTATTCTGACAGTGAGGAAGTATCCCCGGTGTGAGAATACAATGAATGAGCGCGGAAGGTGCCCCCGTACATATCAAGTGTGTGGATGGGAAAATCAGGTCCGTTTTTTATCGTTCAACCCACTGGTTAAACAAAAAAAAAAACGGAGCCATCTATGGCCTGCCTTACTCTACGCTTGTACTGTTAGATTATACCTCCTAAATGTAATTTAAGTATTTTCTTTCTCTCATGTTAAGCTCACTTGTACTGTATGTTTTCTACATTCCAGAACCATATCCTGTGAACCTGCCACAATATTTTAATGTGAATTCAACTTCTGTGTCCTTGAATTGGAGCGCACCGAATGAATCTCAGAGTTCTTACACATACAGAGTGCAGACAAATGTCACATCAACATCTATAATGATAAATAATATCACAGTGACCAGTCAATCAACTACAATAGGAAGTCTGACCCCGGGACAAACCTATACATTCCTGATATATACAAGAGCTGCTGATAATGTCACTGAATCTGACCCGATGTCACTAACTACCTGCACAGGTGAGTACAGCTACAGACCCGCTCCCATCACTCTGATATGGGAAACCATAAAAATTACCTCTGTATTACTAAGATTTGTAATTTTTAAACAGTGTTGCTTTAAAAGTGATTTTTATTTTTATTGGGATGTCAGATAGAATTGGTTTGACTTTAATATAATATAGTATAATATAATATAATATAATATAAGTAACAGACTTATCAGGTTTTTTTTTTATTAAACACATGTTCACAAGTTAAATGTAACATATTTTTTAAAATTTTTTTTTTTTAAATTAACATTTTAATTTTTTTCTAATTAGATCATCTGTAAATGTAATTGTGTTTCATTATTTTATATTTTTTTGCTTTGTGTGACCAGTGGGTGTTTTATGATTATTAAAGGGTAATTTCACCTTTGGGAACACGTTACATGTTCCACCTGTTTTTAGGGTGGAACATGCAACATGTTCCCAATGCTTTTTTGTGTCAAGGTGAATTTATAATTTAAACTAAATCATTCATCTCCAGCTGAAAATTATTTGGATGATCACCTCCATAGTCTGTCGTTGAAAGTGTTTGTAGTATCATTTAATAAATGTCCGGTGTTCTTTCTTTTTCTTCTACTTTTCCTTCAAATCCTGTAAAAATTAATCGGTCATCAAAACACAATGAATATGAGTCTTATAAAGCACATAACATTGTCAACATTGTATTTCCAGTTCCCGGACAAGCTGTCAATGTCACAGTGAACAATTACCAGTCGGTGAATTCTCTGGTGGTGAACTGGACGACGCCAACTGGAATCGTGTCCAATTATACCGTCACTATAGGAGATGTAAATAGGACATTGCAGAATTCCTCTACACAAGCGACCTTCACCAACTTACTGCCGGGAAGGAATTATACCGTCACTGTACAGACAGTCAGTGGGAACTGCAGCAGTGCAATCACTACAGTGACAGAGGCCACGTGTGAGTATGATCCACGGGTGATCCGTGTTATCTATGTTTGATCAGAGTACTGGACCTGTAACTAAAGGCAAAACTTTTTTTTCTTAAGTTCCTGATAGAGTGGAGAGGGATTAGAACCCCTGTCCGTTTTTATTGCTGTCTGTGTCCCTGTTAAGGAGATTCCCTCTCTATTTGTCCTGTTTAGACTACATTCGTATGGGCTATTTGGCTCGGTGTGATTGGCAACGGCATTCGCACCAAGCTGCTGTGTTTGCCACCTGTGAGCGGCTAGCTGCTACCATTGAGTCTGCGCACTTTAAAGTGGTACTAAACCTACAACAGTAAAATCAGTCTGTATATGCAGTAAAGCATGCTTGTTATACTCACTGTGAAGCCTAAGGGGTTAATCCTTCTCATTGTGTAAAAAGGCTGTTTGATCTTGTCTTCTCTGATCCTCCCCAATCCATCTGCTGAAAGAACAGAGATTTGGGGGCAAGCTGCACATGCTCAGTTTGGTGTGTATTGCTAGAGAGTTTTTTTTTTTTCTTGGGAGAGTGCATGTAATCAGCACAGGGCAGGTGATCATCCATGTCCAGACAGAAGGTCAGGGGTTGTGCAGCCTCATAGGACAATCAGGGGAGATTTCATGCTCCTCCTACAAACTTTAACCAGTGCTCTGCTGGATACTGATATGAGTCACAAGACTGCTTTAACTGCTGATGAGAAAAGGTATTTAGAAGTTTAAATTTACTAAAATAATTGCATTTCCATGTTGTGTGTACTGTGGGAGACCAGATATAGTAAATGCAGGGTCCGGGGAGACCAGATATAGTGAATGCAGGGTCCGGGGAGACCAGATATAGTGAATGCGGGGTCCGGGGAGACCAGATCTAGTGAATGCAGGGTCCAGGGAGACCAGATCTAGTGAATGCAGGGTCTGGGGAGAGCAGATATAGTAAATGCAGGGTCCAGGGAGACCAGAGGGTCCGGTGAGATCGGATATAGTGAATGCAGGTCTGGGGAGACCAGACATAGTGAATGCAGGGGGGAGAGCAGATATAGTAAATGCAGGGTCCGGGGAGACCAGATATAGTAAATGCAGGGTCCGGGGAGACCAGATATAGTGAATGCAGGGTCCGGGGAGACCAGATATAGTGAATGCAGGGTCCGGGGAGACCAGATATAGTGAATGCAGGGTCCTGGGGAGACCAGATATAGTGAATGCAGGGTCCGGGGAGACCAGATATAGTAAATGCAGAATGCAGGGTCCGGGGAGACCAGATATAGTAAATGCAGGGTCAGATATAGTAAATGGGGAGACCAGATATAGTAAATGCAGGGTCCGGGGAGACCAGATATAGTGAATGCAGGGTCCGGGGAGACCAGATATAGTAAATGCAGGGTCCGGGGGGAGACCAGATATAGTAAATGCAGGGTCCGGGGAGACCAGATATAGTAAAATGCAGGGTCTGGGGAGACCAGATATAGTAAATGCAGGGTCCGGGGAGACCAGATATAGTAAATGCAGGGTCCGGGGAGACCAGATATAGTAAATGCAGGGTCCGGGGAGACCAGATATAGTAAATGCAGGGTCCGGGGAGACCAGATATAGTAAATGCAGGGTCCAGGGTTTAGTAACACTTTAATAACATTATCCCAAATGATAGGAGGTGTTGGGTTTCACTGTACTGAAGGGTTGTCATTTATTTCATCTACATTTTGTAGGGGAGCATTTATTTACTCCTATATTTTTATGTGCTATATTTGTTGTAATAATTTTATATATATATATATATATATATATATATATATATATATATATATATATATATATCTGTCTGTTTGAATATTTCTTCCTGAGGGTACTACAAGCACCTTAAAAATCCCACCTATTTCTTTCTTTTCTTCTGTACCACTTTAATAACAGCTATCCAATTGTGTGCATCCAACAGCATTCAATGCAGGTAATCGCTGGTTGTGCAAACAGCTCTGCCCGCCGCAGTCCTCTCTTTGAAGTTTACAGCGCTTGGTGGCTGCAGCTAGAAGCTCACAGATGGCAAAAATAGCAGCAGGAATCAGAAGATTCCTGCTGCTGTCATCTGCACTGTGGCTATTCACCCATACAAATGTAGCCTCACTGTTATAGTGGATAGTGGAAGTAAAAGAAAATCCCACATTTTAGTTTGCCACCAAAACAGGAATAGAGGGGAAATCTTCCAATGGAGACACTAGTTCTGGTGACCCTGGTGGCAACTTGGGTCTCCCTGACTTTGGATTTCCTCTCACTTCCTGTTCTGGCTATGCGACAGAAAGTGAAGGGAAATCTACACAATGGGACACAGAGGGCAGAAGAAAAATTATAACCCTTCCTTAATCTATCCAATATGAACAAAAAAAAGTTTTGCCTTTGGGTTCATTTTAGCCTTACAACTTTGTGGCTGCAGAATATCTAACACTTATTTATATGCAACCTTAAGGCCTCCTTTACACTTGCCTTGTCGTCTGATAAGTGATCTACATTTTGATCACTCTTCAGAGGGCATTCCACAGGTGGTGAGGAAGTGCTGTATTGCAATTTTAACTCTTTACAGCCGGCACCAGCGCAATGCAATAGCGAGGCAGTTAGAGGGTGTCCCCCCAACAGGACAACGGGGATGATTTTTGCTGCACCATGATGCAAAGCATCGCAGCTGCATTACATGTACAGCCCCCTCAGCTGCATTTGCAGCTTAAGGGGAGCAGTCAGGCAGGATGTATCATAAATCTGAACTTTTAGTATTAAGTCAGTGATAGCAACCTTATGGGGTTGCTTTATTAAAGGCAAATAGACTGTGCACTTTGCAAAGTGCAGTTGCTCCAGAGCTTAGTAAATTAGGTAAAATTTTCCCTTTGCCAAGAATACCCAAAGGAAAATATGCATTTTTGTTTGCTGGACGATGGAAGTCAGCAAGCTTCTGCTATTTAAATTAGCAACTGCATTTTGCAAGTGCACAGGCTATTTGCCTTTAGTAAATCAACCCCCAATGTGTCATTTGCTGTACAAGTTTTCAGTAAACGCATATCCATGCCATAAGGGAAAAGAATACCCAATCACATGCAAAGTAAAATTTAAAAAAAGGGAACAGAGAATTATAGTAAGTACAGAGAATTATAGTAAGTAAAGTAAAGTGCACCGGTCTTCACTGGAAATATCCAACTATATGAGAGAAACTGGAAAATTAGAGCTTCTTCTTCCCAGGATTTGGGATACTTTACACCCAGGTTCACTTGACTTCAAGTGTCGTTAAACCCATACACATGTAGCCTCACTGTTATAGTTAAAGTGAAATATATTGCAGCTTACCAATTCTTAGATGTGGTGTCTGCATTCTTTTTCTTTTTAGGCTTTTTTCCCCTCTGTTTTCACCTGGTGATCTGGTCAGTAACTCACCTCCTGTATTAGAGCGCCACCACTCTGGAAGAAGGGGAACAGGGGGCACCTTTGGACTGCAGCATTGTTAATCTGTTGGAGAAAGGAAATAGAGGGGGGAGTGTTAGATGTACTAGCAAATTTTAGATACACTAACAAATTGAAGCAAAACTCCAGGTTTGTTTCTACCCTCTAAATGCTGCAACTACAGAACAACTTGTTCTGTTGAAAAAAAACAACAGATTTATTGGCCAAATCATCAGTTGAAAATAAAGAAAGCCTAAAAAAGAAAACTAATGCAGCCATCACATCTATGAATTGGAAAACTGCAACATAATAAATGTTTGCTTTTACCACTTTCAGCTCATTTGACACTTTATTAAATGAGGCTTGATGCCTGCCTCCTCATTCTGATTGCATTGTGTTGTTCTGCCTGCTGTCTGTCCCCATCAGAAGTGCAGCCATTGTCTCTTCTAAGTGTATTTTTATTTTATTTTCCAGATCCAAATCCACCAGGAACCATCACTTTTAGTACAACTGGAACAAGCAGCACCACATTTTCCTGGATAGAGCCAGTGAATATGTCCGAGGTGACAAAGTCATATAATATAACATATTATTGGAATGCTTCTGTCCCCATCACTGTGACAAGTAACTCTCCAAATGCCACCCCTTCAAGTCTGAAATCTGGGAGTAATTACACCTTTACTGTGGTGACAGTTGGAGTCCGGGGGTATCAGAGCACACCTGTCAGCAGATCTGTGTTCACAAGTAAGTAATTACCATGTGTCAGAATGCTAACTATACCAATGTGGACCCTCTAGCTACATTGTACGGGATACCCCATGAGACGTGGTAGACTTACCCAAAAAGTGTAGGCCAACAGCTGGTTCTTGGTAGAGCAGAGTACCATGGATCAGGTTAGACCTGGAGAGTAGGAACAATGCTGGATCACACTGGAAAGGGAGGTCCTAGAAACTGGACTAGAATAACTTTGGAAAGGACTGAACTGAGAGTAGGATCAGGACTCACTAAAGTAGGAGGATGGTCTCATGTAAGAGCAAGTGATTTTCCAGGGTGTGGAGTCTAAGAGCCAGCTGCTATTTAGCAGGGATCCTCTCGTGGGAGTTTTGGCTTCGGCTGCATGCTAACCACAGGTTGTGACCCCCAGTTCACCCTGCTCTAAGTACCACAAACCACAAGTAGGAGGTTACTGGGAGCAATCCAGAGGCCAGGGTGTGCTTTGGACACAGATGGTCAGGAGTAGAAGCCAGAGGTTGAGGATGGGCAGCAGACATGGAGAACCACGAACAAGTCAGAGGTTGAGGATGGACAGCAGACATGGATAACCAGCAGTTGGTACACAGAAATCAAAGGCAGATACAGTGAATAACCAGGAAATAGCCAGAAATTAATCCTTAGTAATTACTGGATGGTATAGGTTGGAGTGCAGGAAGGCATAGCCAGGGCTTGAAAAGGCATGTTTTGGGAGCGAGAACTGCACCGAGTTTAAATATGGTAGGCAAGAGAAAGGAGCCAGTCTGACAGGCTACAGCCTAACAGAAGAAGGAAAGTGCTGCATTGATAGGCTAATGCATGACAGAGAAAGGAGAGCGCCGATGAGACTGGCTGTGGCCATTCAGACAATGGGTGCCATTCCGATTAGCTGTACCCTGTCAGGAGATGAGTGCCGCTCGGATTGTACAAAGCTGCCATTGCCTAGATCAGGGGTCTCCAAACTTTCTGAGCAAGGGGTCAGTGTATTCTCCTTCAAACTTTACTGGGGGGGGGGGGGGGGGGGGGGGGGCACACTGTGACCATTGGGAATGAAAAATGACCTGGCATTAGTGGGATGAATAAATGCCTGAGGCTTGGTACCAGTGGGAGTAAAAAAACATACATGGTATCAGTGGGAGAGAATGGTGCCCCATCATTGGTATCAGTGGAAGGAATAGTGCCCCATCATTGTATCAGTGGGGGAGAATTGGTGCCAGGGGCGGACTAACAATTTGGAAACTCGGGCACTGCCCCGAGGGCCCAGGTTTCAATAGGGGGCCCTATGAGATGCCCCTGGTACCTTTTTCATAGGCTTTTTTGAGCTTGGGCGAGGACACAGGGGCCCCATGATCCCCTATTGCCCGGGGGGCCCCATGAGTTGTCAGTCCGCCCCTGATTGGTGCCCCTATCATTGTGTCAAAGGAAGTCATAGTGCCCATTATTAATGTCATCAGGGAGGAATAGTGCCCTATCATTAGTATAAGTGGGAGAATTAGTGCCCATCATTGGTATCAGTGAAAGGAATAGTGCCCCATCCTTGGTATCAAGTGGGAGAATTGTGTGCCCCATCATTGGTATCAGTGGGGGGGAATAGTGCCCCATCATTGGTGTCAGTGTTGGGGAATAGTGCCTCACATCATTGGTATCAGTGGGGGGAGAATAGTGCCCCATCATTGGTATCAATGGAAAAAAATAGTGCTCCATCATTGGTATCAGTGGGAGAATGTGCCCTCAGAAGCATTGGTGTCAGTGTTGACATAAGCAAGGTCCAGTAGCACTGAATAATCTCATGTATGTTAGGAAACAAATCACTACTGATTTCATAGAAGCTGGTAGACCAAACAAGTAATGTGGCTCAAACAGGACACATAGATAATATGTAGTGCAAATCTTTTATTTTTGCGAGCAAATTAAGAATGATTTCCACTACTGTGTCTGCCCATGACGAAAAATGTGAGATCATACATAATAATGCTTCAATATTTTTTATTCCTTCACTAGAGGGGTCTCTAAATCGCTCTGTTTAGTCTCATACGATGGAAAATGGTAGATAGGAGGGCTACAGGTCCTTCATTTCAAGGAGAGGTGGCCTAATTTGAGAGGGTTGTCCTATTTTTCCATGCTGGGCACTTCTAGTAAAACTGTTATTCATCCCTAATTAATTTGTTTATTGTGTTCTCATACAGTGGGCCAATGGTCAGTTTATTATGATTATTATAATATTTTATTACAAAACAACAATAAAAAACAATCACATTAATTCTTAAACCCATCAAATGGGCTTTAATGATTATGTGCTTTTTGTTTAATAATTACACTTCATAACACACTCCAACTGTTATGTTTTAAACCAATGAAAATCATGTAGTGCTTTAAAAATCTGGTGGTTGAATCCTTTACAGCTCTGCCATGTAAAAATGGGAATTACTCAAAAGTCATGTTGGGATACCCTCTAAGCCGGGCATACATGGACTGAGCCAAATTTCGATATATGTATAGCCCCTGTGGTTGTATCAGATTTGATCGACTGATCGACTTCTGTTCAGCTCCT